AAAGATCATTTAGATTTTGAGGGATAGGTCTCAGATAATCTCAAATTATCAAGCAACCCTTGGAAACAGCACGATTCCAGCTGTACCAAGCAAAACGTTAATGCATGTGAAGTCCAAACCTCATGATTTTTTCCCCTCTACTCTCGGTATTCTGCAGAAACCGAGAAGTTCACTGACTTCAAGGTGGTTTATCTTTTTTGGGCTGCACCAAGAACCAGTTTTTCCTGGTTCTTGGTGCTGTTTCTTAGGGTTGCTTGGTAATTTGAGATTATCTGAGACCTATCCCTCAAAATCTAAATGATCTTTTACTAAAATTTAAATGTGTAAACTGATATTCCCCTAGAACGTACAATTTACAGATTCAGGATTAGTCATTTTTGTTCTACTGCTATAGCATCCTGACATACAGCTTTTAAATAATGCCTTTCTTTTTAATGGGAAAGATGAAAATAAAGTGCTCGTTCTTTGCCTCCATATATAAACCCTCATACAAAATTACTGTGTATGCCACCTGCATACCCCAGCAGACATAGCCTCAGGCAGTGGAAGAGGAAGAAGCTCTAGTAATTGTCATTTATCAATATTCATGCAAAATCCTGAATGGCCTTCTCAAAATACTTCTCCAATAACCTCTCATAGCCAAAACAAAAATAAGATGAAAACATAATTCTACTATTTATTACTAGAGGGAAATTCTTCTCAATCTTCTCCCTCCCTTGTAAAAGAATTGGCATTATTTAATATAACTGAAGCCTAAAAAGATTTGGTATTAGTTTTTCTACTAATCATACTTTTATTTGTTAATATTAGCATTGTAAAGCTGAAAAGGAGAAAAAAAAAACTACACTGAATCAGAAATTAGCCCAGTCATATTCTTGTTTGGTGATGTCACCAATGGTCAATCCAGATTCTTTTACTTGTTCTTCATGCTCTTCCTTCCAGGTTCCTCATACTGGGTGGAATTTTACTTTTTCAATGCTTTAAATACTTTAAAAACAAAGTCTAAAACTGGGGCTCTGCATTTATGACTCTTCACAGATTTTATTATTATTTTTATTTATTTATACATCCAATTATTCTCCCCCCATCTCCCCCCAGTGGGGAACTCTGGGTAGCTCACAAAGTATATATAATCCTAACGGGGACAAACCTTACAATTACAAATCCTACAGTGCTATATATATTACACTATGTGACCAGCAGTGGTT